GCACCGTACAATATCATAGGTTTAATCACTGATGTGTACAACCAATACATAACTCTTGGTTTAAGACCCCATGTCTTTCCCAAGGCTCTACTGCAAGTCCACAATGTGGTCATTGCTTTTGTGATTCTTGACTCAACATGTTATTTCCATTTTAGCTTACTATCCAAGATAATACCTAAGTATTTTACTTCCGATTTTAAGCTAATTTCTTGTCCATTTAGAGTAAGAGTGTCCAGGCTGTCTAGTCCTATTCTCTTTCTANAAGACTGTCTAGTCCTATTCTCCTTCTAGTGAACATAATAACCTCTACTTTATTTGGATAGACAGTATAGACCGTACTTACTACACCATATCTGTATAGTGTTAAGTCTCTGTTGTGCTAAGTCTATAATAGTGTCTGGGAATTTACCCACCACTGCTATAACCAAGTCATCCGCATAGGCTTGTGTATAACAATATTTGTTTAACTCTCTAATAAGCGAGTCCATTGGACTATAAGGAACTTTCATCAGAAACAAAAATATACTATTCTAAATCAACTTTTCGCAATGTAATCAAATGTGTAATTAGACTTTTTTTATCACTTCTAAGTTTTAATATTATTAAAAAATAGTATTTACATATAAAAACATCGAAGCTAAAAAATAATTAAGAATAAAAAAAAATTGTTTTAAATTAATACTGATTTTGATTATTAATATGTTAAAAATAAGGAAAATGACATATTTAACTTACTTTTTTAATCGTTTAAAGTTGATTTTTGTAAATATTTATAATAAAAAAAAAAATTTATTTTACCATAACTTTTAGCTTAATTGGCAAGTTTGAAATTGATATTATCAAATAGAAAATTTTATGAGAATTAAAAAAATTGTATCGTTAAGATTGATATGCAGTCAGAAAGTTTTATAATTACTATTTATTGTACATTTATCAGAAAAGCTCAATATTTTTTTGCATTTTTATGGTAATAGATAACTTAAATAGAAGTAATAGTAATAATTTCCTAGGAACTTTTGTTGTTGTATGAAAAGATTCTACAATTGAAATATTGAGAACTTAATTAATTTTAATGATTTACTTCAACTAAATGTACCAATCAAAACAAAGTTGTTAAAAAAATTTACTCAATTGAGCGTATTATAAAATTTGATTATATTTGTAAAAATCAATTGTTAATTCAGGAGAAAAAACAATCATTTTTTTTAGAAATGATTTATATAGCAACACGNATAATCATTTTTTTTAGAAATTATTTATATAGCAACATATTACAAAAAAATTTGTAATATTATAGTCCAGTAGTAGCACACACAAATAGAGTAAAAAAATTTTTAAATTACAAAGTAAAATGATTTAATTTTGTAGTTGAAACCTATCATATCAAATTATTATATCAAACTTGATTCGTCAATACATTAGAAATTAATGATTTTAATTGTCTTTATGGAGACGNTTTAGAAACGAATGATTTTAATTGTCTGTATGGAGAACATGGGATAAGTAACTGTTTAATTGATAAATTAGAATTTTTTTTCAATTTTTGAGGGTAATATCTTCAACTAGATACGAATTGTAGTCATTTGACGTATCGTTGAAAAAAGTAGGTCAAGTTAGAGCAGAGAAAATAAATGATATTCACAAAAAAACATCTTCTCGGCTTTGCATCGAAGCTAAAACTTAAAATATAGTAAAATCATTTTAATGTGAATAAAAAATTTCTTCTTGCAAGGGGCGACTAAAGTGATGGGATCCTTGATCTTTATTGAAATTATTGAATCTAAATGAGATAAAAATCAAACGAGTTAAAAATTTATTCTAACTTAAAAAGAATTAAGAAAAAATGTAAAAAATTCATTGCAATACGCGGGTTGGAATCTCGTACCCCAAGCGTGTAAAACACAAGTTATTCCAACTCGGCAACCGTACGTTGGTACCGTCGATTGAAAAAAATGGTTATTTAAGCTAGTTCAAATTTCAAAGTTATTTTTCTCGACTTAAAAAAAGCAAACAAATTTAAATAAGTTTAACTTTCTATGCTATATTAATTTTTTATTTATATAATATTTATGAAAATCTGTACTCCCCTTGTCAGGTATTTTAAAATAAAATAAAATAAAAAACCCAGAATTTTAACACAAAAATAGCAAATTTTTGAATACGGTAGTCATTTTTACCGTGAAGACAAATCCAGAGGTCACATTTTTTTTTTTAAATTAAAGTATATTATATAAGCTTTAATTTAAGATATATATAAAAGTGTCAGTATTTCCGGAANTTTTTTCACATTAAAGTATATTACATAAGCTTTAATTTAAGATATATTTAAAAGTGTCAGTATTTCCGGAATACTTTCAAAAATTAAATTGAAAATGTCCTAGTAACAATACGCATGTTTAAAGTTTTGACCCCCCTTGTATAAAGGGGTATGATCCGATTTACAAAAAAAGCGTGTCAGATGAAAGGGCTATATAAAAATTTATTATAAAAGAATAATAATATTAATCCATACATTTTTCCAAAAGTTATATAAAATATAAATTAAATAATATAAAATATAAAATCGAGAATTTTTACATGGAAATCGTACGTTTTTCTTTAACTTTGATGTCCGTTTTCACCACGAAGACAAGTCCAGAGGTCAAATTTTTTTTTTCAAATTTAAGTATATTACATAAGCTTTAATTTAAGATATATATAAAAGTGTCAGTCTTTCCGGAACATTTTCAAAAGTTAATTTTTTGTAAAAAAGTTACCATTTGAAACCCTTCCTGTGGGCTTATAAAGGGTCAAATGTTAACAAAAATATATAAAATGATAGGTGAATACCTAAGATATCTATAAAAAAAAAATTATATTGATTCGGTCATTTTTAAAAAAGTTATGGCAATATTAAGTAAAAAAAATTGAAAAAATATCGAAAATTAGCGATTTTTAAATTTGTAATTTTTTGGGGGATTTCCCCCGTTTACGGGGAACGAGGGAATTTTTTTCAATTTTTGNATTGTAATTTTTTGGGGGATTTTCCCCGTTTACGGGGAACGAGGGAATTTTTTTAAACTTTTTGAGGTTAATGTCTTCGACAAGATACGATTTGAGATCTTTTGACATATTGTTCATCAAAAGCGAGAGCTGAGATTGAGCGTTCAGGCACAAAAAAAAAAAAAAAAAAAATAAACACATCAAAGTAAAATTAATACCTTCTCAGCTTCGCATCGAAACTAATATATTATAAAGCATATTACACATCGGCGTGTCAACATTTATGTTAAAAATTCTATTTCTGTAAAATGTAACTCGATAATTTTTCTCCCAACTATCAATGAAATAAATAAAATAAAGTATATTATTTAGAAATAAAATCCCAATTTGATGGAGACCTAATAAATCAGAAATTGAAACGGTTCCTTCTTACAAACCCCATTTACTCAGTTTGTGTTGAATTCAGATACTTTTTATATGGGCTCTAAAAATTGGTGAAACCAAAAAAAATAAATTTTTATCATATTTTCATGGAATTTGTAAAACTAAAATGTTATTAACTCAATATTAGAATTAACATCATGTCAAATTTCAAAAATAGCACACTCCTTACTACTATCACTTAAGTAAATGAGGGTTGGAGTCCTCCCTGAAGTATATCTAGATTTAACAATGCTTAGATTAAATTATTTCAAATAAGAAAAACAGAAGTCAGTCATTGAAATCTCAATATATCTACTTTGAAACTTATTTTATTACACAAAAATATTTTCAATGTCATTTTTAAAGACCTAACATAAACTGTACTTGAACTTCATTAATTATTATATGTGAGATTTAACAATATATACCATAATATTTATTATTATTGAGGAGTAAAATTTAGTATGTAAATATGAAAAAATAATGATACTACAAATAAAAGTATTTTTATATGTATATATATATGTTAATAACATTACATAGTTAATAATAAAAGGCATGTAACTACAATGCAAAAACTTGAAAAATTGTTCTTCTATCATGATTCAGCCTTACAGTATTTTTAGTAACAATAAAATAATAATACAAAACATATTTACAGTATTTTTCTTATATACAATTATGTAATAAGTAGATGATAAAATATTTATAAATTACAATGTTAAATTAAAAACTAGCATTATTCACATTGTTTTGGAAAACATTTCTTTTTTAATTGAAATGTTAAATGTTGTTTGTTTTAATTAGCATATTTATTTAAATACTTAAAGTAAAAAAATTATTTGTAATAGAAGTTATTATTAATATGATTGCATAACTAAAAATCATTTATGTTTTGTAAACATTACTCTCTAAATAAAAATATTTAGTTGACTCTAAATTAATATATAGCATTACTACTCATATATTGTTGATGAACAAAAAGAAAATTTGTGAATAAATACAGAATATAATTCAACAATTATAATTAACTCATAAATTTAATTAAAATTGAACATTTAAATTATTGAGCAGGTAAGATTGAAGTATTACCTAATGTTTATTATAAAGTATAAAAAAAATGTATTTTTTCATTATAATTATATTAGATTTTACTCTTAATACTGAAATCATAAATTATATTTATGTACATTTTTTTAGATCTAGGATCATAAAAATTTACATAAACTATACAACTTACAACAAATTTGTAGTGTTATATATTAATTTATTCTTGTTAATTATAGCAAAGATCTATTTTTTTACATATTTAAAAATAAAAAATTGACTTAGTTCAGAATATTATAGGAATAAAATATTTTTTTAATAAGATCATATATATCATAGTAATATTTAACAATTTTTATTTAAAAATCTTTTAAGTTATGTTAACTAAAATTTTCAGTAAAATATTTTAAAGAAAATAAGCATAAAGTATTTGTCAAAAAATTAATTAATTTTATGAAAAAAAATGTATGAAAAATTGTTAACAAAATTTAAAAAGTAAAATATTTGAAATTAGTTAAACTAAATATTGAAATCAAAAGATAAATTTTTATTTAACATTAGATTTCTAATGCTGTCTTCATTTTTTTTAATAGATTATAATACTAACTGAATTTGTAAAATTATTAAGTTTTAACAATTAGAGTTTTACTTTATAGTTGATACCTCTCTCAAACTATTTTTCATAAATACATAAGAAAAAATTCCCAATGTATTAGTATTGAAAAAGTTTAATATACAATAATATACTAAAAATTTTATTTTCAAAGTAAAATACATGAATAATATAGTTGAAAAAAATTAGAAGGGAAATTTTACATATTTTTAATATAAACCTGATAATTTGAATTTTTTACTAGACTTGTTTTTAGGTAATATAAAACTAAATAAAATTTTAGAAAAAATATTATGTTCTTCTTATTTTTCCATTAGTAAGTGGACATTTACAGCGACATCTTAAACCTAGAGTACTCAGAAATTTTACTTCTTTACTTATATCATTCAACTGAACATCTAACTTTTTAAATGTATCTTTTGGAAATTTATCAAACATTATTTTATCTAATTGTTTTCTTTCTTCAGTTTTTTGTTTAATAATTTTACCTCGTGTTATTCGTTCATTGATTTGTTCATCAACTAGTTTTTTTTGTTTAATTACTTTTTTTTTACTAGAACCATTTTGTAAAATTGGTAATGATATTGATTGACTATTTTTTGGATACTTATCTCTCCCTGATGTAAAACCAAACTCATGATTGTTATATATTTGAATTTCATTGTAGTTAATAAAGTTTTCTAATTTTTTATAACCATTTCTGCTATAGTTATTATTTTGGTCATCAATAATTGAAGACTCCCGATTACCTATTGATAATGGCAGTTTAGTAAGAACTATATAAAGTTTACGTCCATTAAGTATTCTTTCAGTGTTGTTTGAAACCTTAACATTAGGAATATCGTTTTTATTAATATCACTTACTGAATTTAATTTGACTTTGAAGCGATCTATTTTAATTTTTTCAAGAGGTAGCTGAATATTATTCTTGGCTTTTATAGTAATTTTTTTTTCCATCTTTGTTTTTCTAGGTATTAAAATTTTACCATTTCTTAAAGTTTTATGATGATATTTTGAAGTCTGTCTAGTCTCCAATCCTTTCATTGATAAATTTAATATTACTTTTTATTTTACACAAGTATCAAAATGAAATGTTTTTGACCATTTTTTCTATATAATTTCTATTATCCTAGAAATATAAAAAAAATGTTTAAACATTTTATTCTTTAATTAAAATAAAATGTCTATCAATAAAACAAGGATTAGCAAAATGTCAATTGATTTATCAAAATTCAGTCAATTGACGAAAGAAATTTTATGTTCTCTAATCTAGTCAGAATAAAAATATAAAAAATATTAATTTTTACACATTAAGTTGTTATTTTATTAAAATTTTTGTTTTACTTTTTTAAAAAAGCAAAAATTTAAAAAGTTGGAAGTAAAAAAAAATTAGATAAAAAACAAATTATTGATTCAAAATATTACTAATTATTATGCCTATAATTTAGTTTAAAACATGAAAAAGAATAATAAATATAAAAATATTTCTATTTTTAAAGAGTAAATTGTAACAGTAGTCCATCATCATCATCATTGTAATCCAAAAATTCTTTGTAAATATAAAGAATCGTGAAAATACTTACATAATAATTTATCCAATTGATTATTTACACTTCATAGTTGGAATGGGTTTAACTTGAAATTCAAATACTAATATATTCAATTGAAATATTATTTCAACACTACATATTTTATAAAAATACTTAATACTGCTTAACATCATGTTGATACTAATTACAACTAATACAAATAATATATTAGTTTGATAGATTGATATTTTAGCTTTATGTGTAACTCAAAATTACAAAATATTTTTTTCGTTTATATTTATTAAATATAATAATATTATAAATTTAAGACAAAAATTTGAAGTAAGTCTTTGGATGAAAAATTAAATGACTAATATGAATAAACATCAACAATATATATTATTGACCTTATCAAAAATATATTTATTATGTGATAATAACAACAATGATAACTATTTATTTGATTTTAAAAAAGTGTCATCAACGAAAAGCAGTTGATAATAATTATATTATGATAACATAACTGTAGAAAGTTACCTTAATTCATTTTATAATCTGATCTAGTGATGAAAAATCACTAAAATTTTATCATTTTTTGGAATCGATTTATATCAACTTAAAATTCGATTTATTGTATAGATCAATCTATACAATAAATCAACAAAACTTTCAATTTTTAAGAATTGATTTTCTGATGAAGTCAGTTTTTAAGAGACTAGAAAGTTTTAATTGTTTACCAACAGTGGCATATTTAAGAGGGGTCTCATTTTTCTGTACCCTTTATCAATATTTTTACATGTATAGGATAAAACTCTGATAAGTATTCCGAGTAAATTTTTCTCTTTAGGACCTTCACCCCATAAAAACGTGGAAAATTCGACACCGTAGACATATTACAACACATACGTCTTTAAGGAATAAATTAAACAAATTTTACTAATCAGATACAGTTAACACAACATAATAAATCATAGCACTAAGGATTGACAGTCAGTCATCGAAAGTGTACCAGAAATCATGTAAAAAAAGACGTTACGATATTAGAATCCACGACCAAAGGCGTCATAGAAATAACCCTTACCACTAGGTCAATGTGCATTTATAATTCAGATTCGATACATTTTTGCATAGGTTGGCAATGTGATGCGCGGCAAAGGACAACACTGTACCGTGTTAAACATTAAACCTAATACAACAGAATTAATAGATTGTCATAGATTCATTCAGTTAAAACATCAATTTTGAATAATATACATATTTTTAAAAATATGATCAAACACTTATAAGAAATTTGGAATTTGTTAAAAAATTTCATTTCAATAAAAATAATTATATATATAATTATTAATATATTTTTAATACTACTTCCAAACAAAATTAATTTACATCATTTTCTTCTTCGTGGGGTTAATTACTATCATTATAATTGAAATATTATCAATTAAAATAAAAATAGGTAGAAAATACCTTAATTATTATGTTGTTTTTTAATTGGAGTGGATCGGATTAGGCTTTAAAAAAATAAAATTCGGATCGGATTGATTCGAATTTTTAAGGCCCAAACTGATATCTGAGTGTAAGAAGTGGTTAAAAAAACCCAGCACAGTGGTATGTTCTATAATTAAGAAAAGTATAGATTACATCTGACAGTGACTAAAATTACTATTATAAAAAACGCTTTGATGCAAATCTGTAGATAGTGTTTAATTTTTAAAAGGAGTTATTGGATATAAAGCTAGTTGCAACTACTTGGGGTTGGCCATCCTTAGATTAACTTTATATATTCTTAAATTTTCTCTTTATCTACATAAATGAGAATACAATAATGACTTCATAGTTTATCATCACAATTGCTATTTTAATTTTTGACATTATTATACTATTGTAAAGCGGATTGATTTTTACATAAAATTTTTTGATCAAAATAAAAATGTCAATAATACCAAAGTAAAATGAATAAAAGTATGCTTGATCAAATTAGTGCGCAGGACCGGCCTAGGGGCAAAATATACAACCGACAATAAAGTCAACGTGATGTCACTGTATATACTTTGCGTTGTATATATTCTATATTAAGGGGCATCGCCCGATTTAGCCAAGTTTTTAATGAAAATTTTAATGAATTTTTTATTTGATTTCGGTTTTAAATTTCATTTAAAATTTTTTTATTATTATTAACATTAACTATGTCCTTTATTATATTACCTTCTATACTGTAGGAGTTTGTCAACCATGATTTAACTCGTTGGTAAATCGAACATTAATTTATTTAAATATAGCAATACTGCAGATTAATTTATATTATAAATTGACACTTAATGCTGAAAATGATCCTTACCACCAGAACCCTTGCACTTATAAACTTCGTAAGTAGTCATTTTTGCAAAATGTAAAAAAATTATATTTAAACATTTATTTAAACATTTAACCCAATCACGTATAAAGGAAAATGATCCGATTTTCAAAAAAAGTATGTTGGATGAATGTTATATATATAATTTATTTGGAAACAAAAATTTATATTGATCCATACATTTTTCAAAAAATTATAGTAATTTAAAGTTGAAGAATTAAAATTTTGTGCAAAAGTTGCTATTTTGAATACCTCCCTGTGGGTCATATTTTCAAAAAATAAAAAATTTATATCAAATGAAAGAGAAATATCTATGGTTTCAATATAAAAAAAAAATTATTTTGATTCGTTCATTTTTCAATAAGTTATGGCAATTTTTAGAAAAAAAAAGTTTAAAAAATGTCGAAATATACAGATTTTAAAAATCGTAATTTTTGGGAGATTTTCACTATTTACGGGGAACGAGGGCAAAATTTTCAACAGATAAAGTAGTGATAGACACAAAAAAAAAAAAA